GGGGCCTAATACGGGGCCTAAATTAGGAGACCCAAGAAGGGACCATAATTTTGACAACCACCCATTTATATAACCCCCTTCAAGGAGTTTAGACTATAGCCCGAAATGGGGACTCAGGAGAACAGCCCGACACAGCTGGCAGCATCCAGGGGCCTGCTGGGCAAGTTTGCGCCGATGGTGGCGCCTAGGATCTGAAGTAGAATGGGTTATGTAGGTATAAGGTTACAGAGGGCTATATGGGTGGTTGTCAAAATTATGGTCCCTTTTTGGATCCTTGTTATAATACGGCACCTAATATTTAGGGTACCCAAAAAGGGACCATAATTTTGACATCCACCCATATGGTTATATAGGGTTATATAGGGTTATATGGGGCTATATAGGGCTATATAGGGCTATATAGGGATATATCGGGTTGTGTAGGTTTGTATAGGGCTTAGGGTTTAGGGTGTTTGGGTTCGAGGTTGGGAGAACCGACAGCGAACCCTAAACCTCTGACCTCTTTGAACCTTCAGCCGCAAATCGGATGCAAAGGACACTAAATTTTTAGCTATATCCCATAGAAGCGGAGGACAACATGTTGACAAGGCATGCTAACAGTAGGTTCTGTAGGCTCAAGATCCGGAAGCATGCCATACAGTTAGCAAATTAGTGCAGTGCAGGCCCACATGTTAGGATTCCTATGGTAACACAAGCCCACATATGAGTTTCCGCCGTTTGAGGCAATCGAAGCAACAACCCTAAACCCTAAACCACCTAACATCGGAATTCTTGCTGCAGGGGGCTCCAAAAAAGGATCCCGAACTTTGCAACCCTACATGTCCTTACATTATACCTCGAAGCCTCTATGTATGCTGCCTATATATAAGTACCTCGACACCGTATATAGCCCCTTCTAGCGCCTCGTCAAAACGACCACCCTTCCCCCTGTGGTGCAGAAGCCTCAACCCTAAACCCTGAACCCTGCTGCACCCACATGCGAGCCCGACCGACTTGACAATTCCCAGCAAAGCGTCAGAAGTGTGTGGCTGCCATAAACCCTACACCTCGCTCGCCCACACGCAAGCCCAATCTATTGAACGATTTCCAGCAGAGCGTCGGAAGCGCATAGTTGTTGCAGAACCCTGAACCCTAAACCCTGAACATTCAACCCCGAACTGAACCCTGAACCCTACACTACGCCTATCCTCGGGAGTCAAGGTACATCTTGCGCTCCTTCTCAGCCTGGCTGGCAATGTAGTGGGCCTGGTCTTCGGTGCCTCCAGCGAGGTCCAGGAGTTTCTGAACATTGCGGTGGGATTAGGATTTAGGTTTTAGGATTTAAGGTTTAGGATTTGGGGTTTTAGGGCCTAGCATTTAGGCGAAGCATTCAGGGTTTAGGGCTTAGGACGCGTCTTCGCGTTCTGGTAGAGAGTGGGTTTAGGGTCTTGAAGTTTCGGGAGTGTCTACATGGTAGGGACTATGGTTTAGGGTTTAGAGGTTTCTGTATGTTGTGGAGGCTTCGACCATTGTGTTCACACAGAGCCCTACCCTATCCCTTCACCCTAAACCCTAATCCCTAAACCCTAACCCCCAATCTCTACTCCCTAAACCCTAATCCCTGAACCCAAAACCCAAAACCCTAAGCCTTGAGCACCAGGTCATGATTGAAGACGGTGGCAGGGCGGACCTTGGCAGAGTGCTGGAAGCCGGGCGCAGGGCCAAGGGGCCTCTGTACGACTTCCTCAGCCCTACGAAAGGGCTCCTATCAATTTATTTGGAAAACTTTGGGTTTAGGGTTTGGGCTCTAAAAACATCTACAACAGATACCTACAAAAGGGCTCCTGTCAATTTTGTTTGCCAAGTTTGATTTTAGGGTGGGGGTTTTCAAAATATCGGCGAAAGGGCTTCTGTCAACTTGTTTGGAAAATCGGGCTTAAGGTTTGGGTTCTAAAGATACCAACAAAACGGCTCTTGTGAATTTGTGAAAATATGGGTTTAGGATTTGGGTTTATTTAAAGGCAGATTGGCGTGAATACTGAGGTAGCATTGTGAGATGAGGACACAAATTTCTAGGCATCACACTTATATGAAAAAGTGTGCACCATCACGGGTAACGAGGGGTTGTTTTCATTTTATCCCTACCCTGACCAGCGAAACCGCAACCCTAGACCCTAAACCCTAAATCCTAATCCCTAGACCCTAAATCGCAGCAATGATCCAGGCTGATGGATGCCATCGACGTCAAAGTGGAAGACTTCCGCATCGAGCATCCTGGCTACTATGGATTGAGTACTGCCCCCACTCTGTAACAGTTGGACAACATTAAAACCATATAATGAGTTATATAGAGCCCTTAATATGGCCGCCTAATATAGACTGTTACAATGTTGTGGCAGTATCCAAACTGTAGGGGCCGAATTTTTAAACCCTAAACCCTAAACCCAGGGGCCCAGGGGATCATGGTAAAGCCGTTGGAAAAGAAAACCGAGACTGTCATGGACACTGGGTCGATAATCGGGTTTACGGGGGGTACTGTAGAGAAGCCTTGCGTTACACTTACGGATGTCATGACTATGGACCCCGAATATTATTGTACATTATCGCATATTATGGCAGATTATTTTTTATGGTATATTATGGTATATTATGGACTAAATAATTACCAGCATTATGGTTCCATATCCCTTGCATAATGAAAGTGTAGGGTACCTCAAATAGACCTCAAGATGCTAGTGGTAATGATTTACATCCAGGTATCACATGTCTTCCTGAACTCTGGCATGGCAAAAGTTCAAGTAAGTGCCTACCCAAGGTACAAGGACGATGGCACAATCGATCAGTTTTTTTCGAAGCTAGCCATTGAAGACTCGAAGACCAGCGAGAGGCTTTACAGCTGCCTGGTCCAGAAACCCAGTCCAGATTTTGAAGACTTGCTTGGTCTTTGGCACCGGAACATTTTGTATGTGCCAAAATCATGACTCCTCTGGGTTTACGGTCGCCTTATGAAACTTTTTTAAAGGGAGGGTATGCAAGCACGACCAGAACAGAAAAGTCAGATTACATTTTCCTCTTGGGTATGGTATTACATGAAGAGTCTAGTCTTACTCGGTCCAGCTGCCCAAGAGAAAATGTGCACTTGTTGGAGTGTTTTGGCGGTGAGGTGACGAGATATTTGTGAACAAGCCGCTGCGCTTTGGAGGGGGAACGTCTCGCCAGCCTGGATTTCTCTGACCGTTGGAAAATAGCTGTACATACGGGTATCTAGTGATCACGTAGGGCTAGATCGGAGCATGGAAAGGAACATAGAAACTACATTGTTTAATCTATGGCTTACGTTAGGTCATTCCCCCTTATTCTCAAAATGCGAGTAGCCTTAGGGGCCTTAAGCATCTCTTGGCATTCAAGTGCAAGGATAAGATGGAGATCTCCCTTCAGGCTTACATTCATTTTTGGAGGAACTCCCATTTCCCCATGGGTCCTTGCATTTGGTTCCGTAAGCAATACCGGTTCTCAGATGAACTGTCCGTTTCAGAAAAAAACAGGAACCCACATAACGCATTCGCGCTTTGTGGGCCTGCTTGGCGGTGTATGGGTACTCGGACTCTGGGACCCAAGTAAATCTCTGGTGAGTGGCTGAAGGTATGGCCAAAGGAACAGAAAACTACCATGGAGCAAAACCCTGAACCCTGAACCTTAACCCCAAATTCATAAGGGTCTATGCCCCAGACCTTGCCACAACCCTGTGTAGGCTGACAGCCTTCCCCTGTTGAACCTACACCTTGAATCCTAAGCCTGAAACAGCCCAAAACCCGAAACTCGAAGCCCAAAACCCCAAGACCCCAAACCCCCAAACCCTAAAACCTATAGTCCCCCTGTAGATAGAATATGGGGTATATGGGGATCTTGTTAGAATATACCCAAAGACATATTCTATCTACTTAAGGGGGACTATGAACCTCAAACCCTAAGCGGCCTTAAACCATCCCAATCCCTAAACGCCTTTCTCAAAGCTGTGCGGTCATGCCAGGATCTACCAGGCGGACTGGGGCATCGATAGGCTGCAAATGTGCCCCATGAGCAGTTGGAGCTCCCCTCTATAAGGATTATACTTGTGTTGGGCGTTCAGGGTTTAGGGTCTACATTTGGGTTAACCAATTTATGGAAACTACCATCTAGGTTAAGGTCTTTTGCCACTTATTTCCTAACCTTGCCCCCCGCACATAAGCTCTGAACCTTAAACCTTTGGATTTGACCCATCCCTTACAACCCTAAGCCCTAAACCCAGCCCCGAATAACTGCAGAGGCTTCGCGGTGTAAGGCATGGAATTGCACAGCCAGGATGTGAGGGTACCTTTTTGGGGGGTCCCCAGAATAAGGATTGTAGTATTTTTGGTTTGTATTGATAAACCCCCAAGACGGTTGCATGCCAGGTACTTGAATGGCTACCCCATCGTGGTGCCGTGCAAAAGCTTACCACCTGACAAGGGCGAGCGATCGCATGCCTGGCTGAGTTTGTCATATCAGAGCCTGAGTTCAGTAGCCGCCAATCATGCAGAAGTTTTTCCACGCAGTTGGGACAGCACGGTGTTGGATAGTGTAGGAACATTTCGACGCTGGCCTGCTGCACGTTCGTCATGTGAGACTTTTCAAGGTAACGCCTATGTAGTAGTTTCCCCAATAGGGGCCCTATAGACCCCAATATTCTAGACTCCTTTTTATGCGGGCCCCAAAAATGGTGCCCCTGATTTTGGAAATCCCCATGTCGTGCTTCAGTCCATCAGGAGCTAGTCTCAAAACATCTCCTAGGTTCTGAAGGGTCTCCCACTTCAAGAAGCCCTTAACCTCAACCCTCAATCCTACAATGCCTCAAAAAACCTTAGCCCGATACATTCCTGCAACGCCTAAACCCTGAACCCTAAACCCCTAACCCCTAAACCACTGAACCCTAGCAACCCTTATATTAGTGCAAGGTGGGCAGCATTCCTTCCACTGGAGCTTGTGACAGCAGAGGACATTGCGCGCTGCAAACCTGTACCCAGGGCTTAGGGTTTAGGGTTCCAAAACCCAAAAACCCCTAAACCCTAAACTCATCCATTGGAAATCCAAATCCCGCTGATTCAGAAATATCCCACACATTCTACTGGGTCGCTGTTCAGGAACTTAATGTGGGTTTAGGGTTTAGGGAAACCACATTAAGTGTTTCATATAACCATCATGGTAACTTAATGTAAGTTCCTGAATCGCAAGCCATTTTAAAAGTAGATGCCTTAATGAACCTCGCCGTGGGCTGTCTGGCCACATGGACGTAGGTTCCCTGTTTTTGGTACTTGCGGCCCTAAATTCGTTGCTTGAGCTCCCACCCTCTCATCCCTTTGTGGCTTAGGTATATAGGGGTATATGTAGGGGTATATGGGCGACATAGGAGTTATAGGGTATGTGGGGTTGAGGAATATTACCGTCCAAATAGCGGCATTATCGGGAACTGTCATCCTTTTTCTCGACAAAGGACAGCCAGGCATTTCAGGCATTTGTCGTCCCCTGGCCCCCCGTTCCTTAACAGGTCGCAAATATTGTGACTGTAGTGCAGTTGCACTCTTAGTAAGGACCCTAATATACGGATGTTGTAGAGTGGGTGCAATAGCCAAGCATTTGTGCATTCAGAAGTTCCCGTTTTCTACTCTCGAAAATTTCGCAAGTATTAGCAGAGTACACTAGCAGTTCACTTGCGCTAGAACCCCACGACGGTGAAGCAAATCACAAAGCCGAAGGAAGGCCGCTGCCCTAGCATGCGAGGGCTGTTTCTGAACATCAATTCTCGTACAGACTTGCTGGTAAGATTGCGTAGTTCGCTCTTCACAGTGCTTCTCTCGGTGAGTTTAATCTGAAGGCCCATGATGGATTTTATATACCCCCTATATGCCCCCTATATAACCCTTATATAACCCTATAACCCTATACAGCCCTATATAACCCTATATAAGCCTATATAACCCCTCTGTAAGCCCCTATATAAACCCCTCTACAAACCCCTTCAAAGGAGCAGGTCCATAACAGTCTTGAGGGAGTGTTGCAGAGGATTCATCTCAGAGCTTGTGTAGGGTTTAGGGTTTAGGGTTTTGGGTATTAGGGTTTAGGGTTTGGGGCTTAGGGTATTAGGGTATTAGGGTTTAGGGTATCAGGGTATTAGGGTTTAGGGTTTAGGGTATTAGGGTATTAGGGTATTAGGGTTTGGGGTTTAGGGTTCCCGCAGCAGCGCTTACCCCAAACCCTTGACCCTTCGTGGATTCTCAAAATCGTACATGACCCTAAAACCTTCTGCCTTTGGAATTTTAGTACTGTAGTATACTACGGTCATGCAAGACTTCTAGTATCAACGGTATCCCTATATAATACCTATAAAGCGCCAGTTTCCATTTCATATTCCTTTTTCTTTTCCATTTGATTCTCTATTCTCGGGGTAGTTCCCCGAAAACCGCTTAATTTTCACACACCGAACCCAGGAATCGTCCTGGTCCTCAACAACATGCGCAACGTCCAGGCCTGCAGAGAAATAGTGTAATCACCAAAAATATAGATTAGGGTTTAGGGTACGGGATTTAGGAATGTGATGGGGTTACATAGGGATGCATAGGGTTTAGAGGCTTGAATAAGTACCGTTAATGGAGAAACAAATGGAAATGTCAAGGGATTATATAAGTGGACTGTGTGATGTAAGGGCCGAGATTTTCAATATCCTTCTGAGGTTCCTTTGAGGTATTCTAATAGGGTTTAGGGTTTAGGGTTTATGCAGTATTATGACTCTGAAAGGAAAACGGGGCCATGTTATTTAGGCCCCTGAAGTACTTCGTGATGCAAACCCTAAACCCTACACCCTAAACCCTAAACCCTAAACCCTAAACCCTAAACCCCAAACTGCATACAACGCCCAACTTCATCCGTAAAGGAGGTATTGGTGGCTTGGGACTGCTACGATGGATAGAGGAGTGGGAAATCCCCATAACAGTGCAATCCCCAAGGTATCGTGTATATAACGTGGTGCAAGATGCCCTCAATCCACCGTGCGTGCAAATATTGGTGTTGTTTTGAAGTCCGTAAATGCCCATCCTGCCTTAAGTCGATCGGTATGCGTGCAATCCTCCAAAAAAATGAGCACCACTATGGGCCCTGAGCCGCAAGGTCTCAAGGCTTGACTTGTGAATGTAGAAGTTTACTTGAATCCTAGGGATGTGGTTTTCTTCGTAAACAGGGGCCCTATAAAGACCTGGAGCTATTGCAGTCGTTACATACGGACGTGATTGCCACGAAGGGGACCTTTCTGTTGAAGACCCCGTATGGCTATCTAATGTGTTCTCTCAAAACAATGGGTCCTTATTGGGTTTGCAAGAAACACTCGAAGTATTATCTTTAACCTAAGAAAGGATAACTTGTGTTCTGACAAACCAGCATAGAGCGTAGATTGGCTGAACCCCTCAAACCCTAAACTCTCAACCCAAGCCCCTAAAAGCCTAAACTTGTCCTAAACTCTAAGCCTCGAATCCCCAACTTCTTGTTGTAGGATCCCTAAAGCCTAAACCCCTCTAAAGTCTTGCAGGTTTACGGCTCTGACAAGGCCCTAGCTGGAGTTCTTCGATCCCCACTGGCCAAGGCGGAATGCCGGTTGGAGGTGTTGATAGTGCCGCGGTTGTCGTGTAGGGCTTAGGATTTAGGGTTTAGGGTTCAGGGTTGCGGTGCAGGGTTTCAAGTAGGCGATTAGAGCCTAATAGTGCAACGTCAGATGGACAAGAAGATGGTACATGAAATGCAAACAGGGAGTATTTAGAGATGCTGTTGACACTAGAAAGCCTTCATAGTATAAGGTTGTGAGGGTCAAACAAGATTTTGAGTATCTGCCACAGCATTTATGTGTAGTGATTTATGGATCAGGGAATGGGGGTACAACAGCGGATCGGCGTCTTTTGAGCGCATGTTAGGCAAGACTATGATCGTCTGGCTTGCTAGCTTCATAGCAAGGGTACAACGATGCTGAGATACGATAGGGTTGATGACTTGGCCCGTGCGAAGTTCTTGTTGTAGGGTCTGGGCAGCAGTTCTTGAGGGTGATTCCATAATTAGCTCCATGTGATGCGGTATTCCGCAATGGGCTCATGGCCATATCCTTATAGTCCCCCTTAAGTAGATAGAATATGGCTTTGGGTATAATATAATAAGATCCCCATATACCCCATATTCTGTCTACTTAAGGGGGACTATAGTCAGTTTTAATTCGATCTCTAGAGCTGGGTTGGTCCTGCAAGTTTTCAATACTTAGCCTTATGGTTTAGGGTTGGGGGGGCTTTAGGGTTTAAGGTTTAGGGTTTAGGGTTTGGGGTTTAGGCTTAAAAGGGGTCCTGCTTCGTGAGCAGATGGCCTGCACCTCAAAGGTACCCTAGGACTAGGCCTTAAACCCTGCACGTGCTTGGAGAATGTCCCGCATTGGACTGCCACCTCGAAGTAGTGGGGTTTCCGGATGCCAGGGTAGGAGGGCGAAAGAAGGGAGGTGATGTTGAACCCTCAACCTTCCTAGATTTTCCGCAGCCTCCCTAAGCCCTGAACTATTTGAGAAGTTACGTGTAAAGCCCGACCCTAAACCCTAAACCCTCAACGAAGAGCAAGGTGGAGAAGAAGATGGAAGGCATGCCAATCCAGTTTGGGGAGGACGGCAGCTTCGCGAAGCAGACTGCCTCAGCAGTCCAAGGGGTTAGGAGTTTTAGGGTTTTTGGGGTTCAGGGTTTGGGGTGGTTTAGGGTTGTTAGGTTTGGGGGCTTATGGTTTAGGGTTTAGGGTTTAGGGTTTAGGGATGGTGGTGATGCTGCGTGCTAGTACTGCCGGTCTTGGTCCTTACAGTAGGAGAAAGCTGAAGCAGTAGCAGTAGAAGGAGTATGAGCAGGAGTGAACATGAAGGTCTCACACGAAGTGGGAGATTAGGGTCCCTGAAATAATGATCATAGTATTTTGGGTTCTATATTGGTGTCCCCTAGTTTAGGGTCATTACCAAGTTGAGGGGCATCATGACAGGGTTCAAGTTTGTGAGGGGCTGGTGGACTGGGCAAGACTGGAGGCGAGGTTAATCAAAAGAGTCCTGATTCCTAATAGATCCTAACAGAGACATCAAGTGTACTTGCAGCATATCCCTAGGGACATAGGACCCCCTCTGTGGAGGAAATCCAGAAATCTGGGAACCGCAAAACTGAAGCTCATTACCAGACATTCATGTTTGCTGTGGCAACAGCTTCCCATCCGGAGGGTGACACGTATGCTTTCGATTAGGATTTAGGATGCAGGGCTTAACGGGTTTAGCCTAGCTTTAGCTGGGAAAGGTTTAGTCCAGAGTATGAAATCAACTCTTCTCCTATCGGCTCGTATTATGTGTGACCTTACTAGGTACAGTCCCTGAAAACATTACTCACGTGCCACGTCGAAGCCATGGCTTGCAGTCTTAAAGTGGCCGAAAAATCAAGGCGAATATCACATGGGAAACGGAATGGAAGCTTGTATTACATGAGCTTTAGCCTGAACTCCTTAAAAGGCGATCATCTAGGGGAGTATCATAAGGGTTACTGCGGGGGATACCAGGAGTTTAGACTATAGGTCGTATGAGGTCACCACTCCCCCTACCAAATATCTACAATGTAATATGGTTTCATGTTTGCAGATTATGTATTGTTGTCCTAGCAAATAGGTTAATAATGGGCATAGTTGGGCTCATTACATGGCTTTTATGCGTTATGAGTATACTTACTAAGTCTTAGCAGGGAACCACGCAATACAATTCCCATTTAATCCCTATATAATATATTCCCTTATTCCCTACTAACCCCCCAGCAAGTAACCCTCAACCCCAGGCTTAGGATCAAGGATGTAGTGGACGCGTTTTTGGTGGAGGTCTCCCTTACTTACGCAGGTTTTAACGCTTCGATCCGATGTAACAGCCCTGCCCCAAGCCCCGCCCCCCCCCCCCCCCCCCCCCTCCCCCCCAGAGAAAACAAATCATCCCCTGACACCCCTAAACCCCAAACCCTCAGGGTTTTGGGTTTAGGGTTTAGGGTTTAGGGCCTTGGGTAAAGGGTTCAACCCTTACAGATCAATCCTGAGGCTTTCGCCCGAAGACTAGCTGGTGGAAGTGGGAGGGGGAATCTAGGTTTCTCATATGGGTTTGGGATTTGGGGTTTAGGGTTTGGGGTTCAGGGGTATATATGGGGATTGTGCAGGACCATCAACAAATCCACACCCCCACTCTCCCCGAAGTACCCTAACCCCAATGTCCAAATACTAAACTTCAGATAAGATGATGGCAGGAGATTCCCTACTAAGACTTAGTAAGTAGCCTTATAACCCCTAAACCCTAAACCCAAAACCCTAAAACCCAAACCCTTACCCGCTAGACCAAGTGCACCAGGGTTAGGATTTAGGGCTTAGGGCTGTGTAACCCCAACTGAGTAGTATTTTATTTATTTGGGGGTATTATGGTACCCATTATAGAGTAAGATTCTATCCTCCTTTTGGGGTATAGTATTTTATATAAGGAGCATTATCTTACTAGGTTCAACCACCAAAAAAACCACTACCCAGCTATCATCAGGAGATTACCGTGGAGGGCAAGACCCGACTGCGTCTGGATAAGATTGTCGGCTCTACGGGCTTGATCGCCTGGGCTCCCGAACTTCCTGTACTGGGGGTTACTATAACCAACTAGAATATATTATATATACTATAATATAGTATAATGTACCAGAATATATTAAAATGATACACCATAATACACTATAGTAGGGAATAGAGGAAGGGATCCCATGCCCCATAGTAGTCTTTTTTTAGTCCCTTCAGTTTATTTACAACAGTCCCTGTATCCTTCACTCCTTACTATGGTGGAATCAGTGGCGTTGATAGTAGGACGTTCTACTACACGCAGATTCTAGGGCGGTCCTTTGAATGGCCTCAGCTTGTGTTAGTGCAACTGATCAGCTAAGATTCAGATTGTGGGTGAAGTCTCGTGGAAGCAGTAGTGGTAGGGCTCATGGCGTGGCGGCAGCAGCAGCAGCAGCTGCTCATGCATGATCCCTTGCTTAGGCTTCAGCAGAATCATGTTTTTCTTCAGGTCTAGGGTACCCTAAATAATAACAGTAATATAGGTGACAGTAGTAATAATCGTAGTAACAATACTCGTAATACTTGAATTAGTAATCATTATAGCAATAGTAGCAACAATGGTAAGTCTAGTAGTGTAGAACTGGTGAAGCTCGTATCATACAAGAAATAGCAGCAATAATAGTAGTGATAGTAGTACTTGTGCTACTGCCTAGACCTAAACCCTAATCTCTAAACCCAAAGACCTAAATCCGTAAAACCCTAAACCCTAAATTACCAAACCCTAAACCCCTATACCGTAAATCGGTAAACCCTAAATCTTAGCTGCCGCGTCGAGGTTAAGAACGACCCGGGCGTGCCTCTGGTTTATGCCGGCGGCGGCCCAAGGGTTTCTTGGGACTCTGTTGGGTGTAA